AGTTTGGCCCTTCGGGGCAAGCATTTTTGAGGGTGAAAATTTTCATTTCGGGCCACCTCGATGGGGGGAATTTGTGTAAAAAAATATATATTATGGTTGTGTGTTCTGTTGTAGTTAGCAAGTAGGACTTCGATAGGAGGGTTTATATTTCAGTGTAGTGTTCTGTGCATGTAGTAGTCACAATAATAAGTGTGGATGTTTTGTATATTGAATATGTTAAGACTCTTGAAAAGTGGAGGAGCATGCTGTTTATTACAAGAGTTTGTAATCAGTCTCACTGCAGTTTTTTGTTGGGCTATTTAAGGTTTAAGGTGATTTGCTGTGGTTGAACCCCATGCACAAATACCATAGGTGAGGTAAGGGTAGATGGGTGAGTGGTATAGTGCAAGAAGAGCTGATCGGGGTACATAGTACTGTATCTTTGAGAGGATGCCTACTGTTTTCGAGACTTTCTTGGATATTTGCTGTATGTTAGTTTGGAATTTGAGATTGCAGTCCAGGTGGAAACCTAGAAATTTGCCCTCTGTGTGTCTAGAAATGGGTGAACCATTTATCAGTATGTTTAGCTGTACATTTGTAGCTCTGTTTCCAAACAGCATAAAATAGGTTTTGTCTATATTGAGAGTAAGTTAGTGGTTATCCATGTAGATATTTTTAGTAGTTCAGCATTTAGTGTCAGTATGGCTGGGTTTAGGTGAGAGAAGATATAAGTAGTATCATCTGCAAATAAAATGGGTTTAAGGCATTTAGATGCATTTGGGAGGTCATTCATGTAGATGAGAAAGACAAGTGGGCCAAGGACATTCTCCTGTGGGACTCCAACAAGAACTGGTTGTGTAGCGGAGTTAGCTCCATTTGTGTATACATATTGGGTTTTATTGCTAAGATAAAATTTTAGGTAATCAAGAGAGTGTCCTCTGATCCCGTAATGTTCAAGCTTTTGATGCAATAGGTCATGGTCAACCAGAGGCGATGCTAGAATTGGTGTTACGTGGGGCGGAATCTTTGGTGTCACCCAGGGCAGCATCTTTGGTGTCACCCCCATGAAATCCAAGGGCGAGGAGATGGGGGAAGTAAACTCCTGTTACATCACTACTGCATGAACAATGACTAATGTTTAGCAATGAGAATGTTTAAGGGCCATAAACCAAACAGGAAAATACTTCTCAACTTTATTAATGATAAAACAAACAATCATAGAAATATTGAGGAAACATAAACTCAAATACCACTTTGAGTACAGGCAACAGATCCTACATTTATTCATCTTCAACAATGCAAACAAAAAAAAACTCGAAAAATAAAGAAAAACATTGCAATATCAGAGAAACACTAGTTCCAATTTGACCTTGAGTACAGGTAACATCTCAGTGAATCTGATCTTACATTTCCTTGCTTTCAGTCCTGCAAAATCATCTATCATATCATCAAAATCCATGATTTTCCCTATGTAGGCCAATTTGTACTCTGCAATCATATGTAATAGGCTATATAGAAATGAAGGATTCTTCACTTGTGGTGCAGTACTATCTTGGGCATTAGTGTCACCTTCTTTAGAGGCTCTGTGGTGTCACCCTCTAAATGGTGTCACCCAGGGTGGCCCTCCCCATCCTCCGCTTCCCGTTTACGACGCCACTGTGGTCAACTGTATCAAAAGCTTTTCGTAAGTCTATGAAAAGTCCCAGGGAAATTTTTTTATTTTCGAGTGCCAAATATATTAACTCAAGCATATGAATAATTGCATCATTAGTACTTTTTTATGGTCTAAATTTATATTAACAGGGGTTGAGTATGTTGTGGGATACTGAGTAGGACTAGACTTGTTTGTGAATTAATTTTTAGAAGATTTTAGATAGTAGGGGCAAGTTTGATATAGACCTGTAGTTGTTCAACTCAGTTGGATCACCTTCTTTGAGGATTGGGGTGACCCTTGTTGTCTTAAGTATGGATGGGAAGGTGGAAGATTCAGTGGATTTGTTAAGCAGAGTTGCAATAATTGGTGACAATACATGAGAAGCCTTTGTTATACATGAGTGGTGGTAAGTTATTTAGGTCACCCGTCTTGTTCTTTAGTGTTTTGATTATGAGCGAGATTTCAGTAGGATTTGTTGAGGCTGAAAATAGAGTATTTGGGTAGTTGCCAGTGAGGTAGTCTTTTGGTTGAATGTTTGAGTTTGGAATTTTGTTCGCTAACTTTGATCCTCTGGTCAAGAAAAGGACATTAAGTTTGTTGGCAGTATCGGTTGACTGGAGGAGAGGTTCATCTGGTTTCGTTAAGTTAATCATTCTGTTTTGTGACAGCTGACATCAGGGGTGCATAATGCACCATTAGCACTCATTGCAACAGGGTTAAATCAAGGAATAAATGTTGCAAAGTGAAAATTGTAAGGACATCCTAACACAGTGCAGTTCAAAAACAAACATGCAAACTCCTCACAGACAGGGGCCTCCGGCTGGGAACTGATTTTTTCTCATCGGTGTTATAATGAAATGACGAACAAAACAATGTTAAGTGAGGACTTGCTGTACACAGATTGTAAATTGTGCAGCTCTTGTAACTTTTTAGGTACTATACCGTGCAGTCCCCCAAGGCTCAGGTTTAAAATTAAAAGTATATTATAAAATTGTAATATTATTAAGATAAATTCCAAAAACTAATACTTTTAAAATAAAAAAAAATTGGTTGTAAGTTAATAAATTTTTGGAATATAATTTGCAACTGAAAATAGTTTATGCATCACTTGGCTGTGGCAAATAAATACCACAGATTTGGTAAAGATCTGCTCTTTTTAATGCTTAGTTACTTTTGTATCCAAGACTAATCATTATAAAATATTTGTTCATTACAGTATATTGCTTTTCAAAATTAGAGAGGGTACTTTTATTTATTTTTATTAACACATCAGCCATTTCCCACCAAGGCAGGGTGGCCTGGAAAAGTAAAACTTTCTTGCTCGAAATGCCCCGGCATGATAGTGGCTTTCTTTGTACTTAACTAATCAAAATTGTAAATACACATTGTAACCTTGCAAGGAAATAAAATATTTATTTATCTTTATCTTATCATCATTCACTCCATCACTGTCTTGCCAGAGGCACGCTTACACTATTTATAAAACTGCAGCATTAGCACCCCTCCTTCAGAGCTCAGGCACTGTATTTTCCACCTGCAGGACTCAAGTCCGGCCTGCCGGTTTCCCCGAATCCCTTCATAAATGTTACCCTGCTTACACTCCAAGAGCACATGAAGTCCCAAAAACCGCTTGTCTCCAGTCACTCATATCTAACGCGCTCATGCATGCCTACGTGAGCACAATCATGCGCTGACTCCTACCCCACCTTCCTTCCACTACAGATTTATACGCTCTTCAAGTCATTCTATTTTGTTCCTTCCTCTCTAAGTGTCTAAACCATCTCAGCAACCCCTCCTCAGACTACAGATTCCCTGCATTATATTCACTCCACACATTGCCCTCAGACACGACATCACTGCCTCCTGTCTTATCCTTGTTGCAACATTCACCACCCATGCTTCACACCCATATAAGACCATTGTATAACTATGCTCTAACTACCCCTAGGAACCTTATACTCTTCCATACATTTATTAAATAAAAGAACTAACCATTCCAAAACTATATCTGTCTTTATCCCATCAATCCCCTCTGTTTTACTCCCTTTCATTCTACCCACTGCCTCATATAACTTCCCCACATTCACAACTGGCTCTTCCTCACTTCTACAAGATGTTATTCCTCCCTGCCCAATACACGAAATCACAACTTCCCGATCCTCATCGACATTTTAACCAAAAGTTCCTCAAAATATTCTCTCCATCTTCCTGATACCTCCAACTCTCCATCTAACAACTCCCCTCTCCTATCTTTAACTGTCAAATGCACTCATTCCCTAGACTTTATCAGTGTATTAATCTCACTCTAAATTTTTTTCTTATTTTCAACAAAGTTTGTTGACAACATCTTACCCATTCTCTCATTTGGTCTCTTTTTACATTCCTTCACCACTCTTTTTCTCACGATGTAGTCCTCCCTTTTTGTAAAAACTTCTCATAAGCTAACTTTTCTCTCTCACTATTCTCTTCACCTCATCATTCCACCAAATGTAATAAAGTTGGTAGAATTACCGACAATATGTAAAGTAAAAGGACACAAGTGCAACTAAAGTGACATTTATTATGGCAACGTTTCGCTCTCCAGGAGCTTTATCAAGCCATTACGGTAATGGCTTGATAAAGCTCCTGGAGAGCGAAACGTTGCCACAATAAATGTCACTTTAGTTGCACTTGTGTCCTTTTACTTTACATTCCACCAATTGTTGTTCTTCCCTCCTGCAACACTTAAATTGTTGGAGGACTCTTAGACTATCCCACCTTTACTGCATATTCTTCCTATGATTTCTTGGATGAAACTGATTTATTACACAGAATTCGACTTGCCCTTTTGCACTTGCTGCTGCTTCATCCTTCACTCCTGAAATTTTCCACAGAATAACCTATTTAGGTTTCATGTTTTCTGGGAATATAATAATGATGCAAAATAATAATAATAATAATAATCATTAGTGAGTGTGTGAGGAAGAGTGAGTGTGAGATAGTTTTAATGGTAGTTAAAAGTGACAAATGGTAATGTTAAGTAAGGTGGTAGTATGTAAATTTGCAAGTCATGATGACACAAGATGTAAACACTGACTGTTATTGCAGTATCAGAGCTGCACCTAAGCACCTAACAGTAAGGGCAATATAATAATTCACACTGAATGCTGTTTTTGTAAATGATAGGAACTGTAATAAGTTTAAATTGTTAAATTATTTGTATTTTGAGATATGGTGCTAAGCACACATCTCAAGCTATATCAGACTGTGAATGCTATACGTATGTTAATTATAGCATTAGCAAAACAGAAGTTTGTTGCTTGAATCTGATGAGCATGAATTCCATGTACATGTACAGTATTTGTTTAACATGGTGTATCATCTGCAGCGTGACACCAGTGGCAGAACGATGGCTGAACCCAGCTTCTGGCGTAACTTTGATTTCACTTCTGAGAAGATTCCATCTCAAGTTACTAATGCTGCCCCATTGGTCAAAGTCACCAACAACACAATTAATATAATGGTAATTTGTATTGTATGACTTTTATTTGAAGTAGTAATCTTGTACAGTTTTAATTGGTGATGGTTTGGTATATGTTTCTTACATAGTTTACCCATGTAAATCCCCTGGCTGTTTTAATTGTTGCTTATTTTGTATTAAGATATGTACTTTTTAACACACTGGTCATCTTCCATTGAAGTAGGGTGATCCAAAAAATGAGGAAATGCACTCACCATCATTCATTTAACCCCTAAAGTGCCGCAGGGCAAAAAATAAAAATTTACTTTATGATCCATTAACCCTTTGACTGCCGCAACCCCAAATCCTGAGGTGTCTCCTGGTGTTGCAAAATATTTGAAAAAAAAAAAGTTTTTTCTTATGAAATGATAGAGAATCTTTTCCCAATGGTAATGACACCAAAAGTATGAAATTTGATGGAAAACTTATGGACTTATGCTCTCACGAAGTTAGTGTCCTCGGCAACATTTATGCATCGGCAATTTTGCCCACTTTGAGCCCTATTTTCAGTCAATTCCATTGTTCCAGTCCACTAAACTCATAGCTATTTCTTTAGAACTCCATTTGTTCTATCGTTTGAGTACAAGAAACTGCCCATTTACCGATTTCAACTACCCAATAAAGTGGTCAGAAATTGGCAATTTGGCCAATTTCATGCAAATTAAAAAGTATGTCATTTTCAAAATAGGGTCCAGAATGAACAGTGCAGACATTCCTGGCACTAAAATAACTTTCTCTGTTCATCAGTCATGTCTCTAGGCCCCTGTTATAATACTCTTGCTTTCTATTTTGAATTTTTATTCAAACAAAAGATAGAAGATTTACTGTTATGCAGACTACTGCAATATTGTAAAAATTGTATAAATAACATCAACCCTTTCGTGACTGCATATTAGAATGGCTAGTTGGACATTTATTGGACAATGACATCATTTGTTTACTCTTGAACATCGGCAAAAATCGAACATTTCTGCCACTTGGAGCTCCATTTCAAGATTCTTTTCATAGTAAAACCAATCAAAATCACTTCTATCTCTATAATATGTTTTACATTCTATCAAATGAGATCAAGAAAACAAGAATACAACCATAAATACTATACGAAAATACACCTCAAAGTCGGCGTTTTAATCCAAAAACACGGTCGGAGTTTTTTTCTTCTCATTATGCACTGTGTGCTGCAGGATTTTTTTTATAATGTGCACACTCACCACACAGACCTATTCTCTAATGTATGGGCTTACCAGCTTTCTCCTGCTTGATTTGAAGCCACTAGAATTTTTGAGTATGCATACGTCAAACACATTGGCTCATAAGACCTATATATATATACAACCAAAACAGTCAAAGGGTTAAATTAAAAATAAAAATTTCTTCTGAATCTGAAGAGATTATTTTTCTGGTGGCAGTAAAATGCAGAATTCTGCTACAAGCAATACTTGCATAATTGCGCAGTTTCAAAAATGACATTTTTGGTGCTCGATATGGCAACATTGGGTTTTGCTGCATGATAAATAATAATGCCATTAGTGATTTTTCAAATTTTTTCTTTGATATACAGTAGACCGTCATTTAGCACGAGTTTATTTGGCATGATTTGGGTAAAGCACGATTGAAGAATTGCGGCACAATTTTATGTAACACGTCGTAAGATGAATTTAACACGGTTCAGTTTGCGGGGGAAAAAAAAACTTCCCTTTTCCTCAAGCGGCTGCCTTCTTGTGGATCAGCAGGGGAGACCTGCCGTCCCTAGCCACCCCGCCCCCCACCATCCCAGCATTCTTACTTCATACATGTCCAGTCCAACTTCTCTGCTACAAGCTTGTGATTGTGAATTGTCTTTTGATCTTTTAATTGCTATATCTTGTATCTGCCAAGCAATCATGACACCCAGTAGGCATACCAGTGTTGCTCAAAGTGGCAAGAAAAGGTGTAAGCATTTAAGTCTTAGAATTAACGAAGGAAACAAAGATATTAGACAAGACATAACCTGTGGCCATAAAGAAGTATTACTTTGTATACATAAGAAAGAGGTAAACATAAGTTTGTGTGACTGACTTACTGAGTGACTGACTTGACTGACTTACTGAATGATTTGACTGACTTACTGAACAGCTCGACTGACTTACTGAATCACTTGACTGACTTACTGAATGACTTGACTGACTTACTGAATCACTTGACTGACTTACTGAATGACTTGAGACTTACTGAATGACTTGAGACTTACTGAATGACCTTGACTGACTTACTGAATGACTTGACTGACTTACTGAATGACTTGACTGACTTACTGAATGACTTGATTGACTGAATGACTTAAAGTTAGACATTCCAGTACAACCATCAGCATCAGTACCAGAACCTCTACCATCCACCTCAGCCCAGTAGGGCCACAGCATAACTCTCCACTCTCTCCACAATCATCCACAAACACCAGCACCCACAATTTAAGGTAAGAAATACTATTATTTCTGTTACATTTGTAGTCTTAAGCAGTAAAAACAACATAATACATCAAAACAATAAACTACAATTACATATTTATTTTTATTTTTGTAAGATATGGAGGCCTAAAAAAAAGTTGTTTGGATTTTTTGGGGCTCACTGGAACGTAATCCTGATTTTCAATGTTCTTCAGTTCATCTAGCACGATTTTACCTAACACGGTGTTTTCAGGAACGTAACTACCGTGTTAAATAACGGTCTACTGTATGTAATTTTTTTGCTTTGTTTTCACTAATATTGAGTAGAAATGTAATCTTTGTAGATGCTGGCAGTTATTTTCAATTATTTACACGTAAAAACAGTTCTTAAAAATTTATTTACATTATTTACATCATATTTACTCACTAAAATATAAAATGCATTATTTGCATTATTTACATCATAATCACTCACTAAAATATAAAATGCATTATTGACATCATATTCGCTCACTAAAATATAAAATGCCTCTTTTATATTTATTGTTTGTAATGTTCTGTATATACAGATGTTGAGCATGTTCTTAGAACTGTTGTAGTGTGTGTGGAAGTCTTTAAAACATGGCATCAGGCATAATGGTGTTGCATGTTGCTTACAAGTATAGTACAGTGGACCCTCGATTTTCGTGTTTAATCCGTTCCAGAGAGACCGGCGAAAACTGAAATCGGCAAAAACTGAAAACATTTTCCCCATAAGAAATAATATAAATCCAATTAATCCATTCCAGACACCCAGAAGTATTAACAAAAAAAATTTTTACCTTAAAGATAGATTTACATGCACAAAAGAATGAACATTCAACATGACACTTACCTTTATTGAAGACTGTTGTTGGTGGATGGAAGACAGGGAGGATGGGAGAGGGAAGAGAGTTCATTCTTTGGAAAGGGAATCCAGCTCCATAAAGACTCTTAAGTACCAAGTCCTTATCCGGGGTCATTTCCCTTCTTTGTTTTCTAATGTCACTAGAACCAGCTTGAGAGGCACTGGACCCTTGTCACACAAAATATCTGTCCAGATAGGTCTATTTCTGGCATCTCTTTAAAATTTCCCTAAAATGAGACATGGCATTGTCATTGTAAAAATTGCTGACATGGATTGCAACAGCTTTCTCAGGGTGGTGTTCCTCCACAAATGAATGCACCCTACTCCACATTGCACAAACCTCCTTAATCTCTGCAGAAGGCACCTTCTTCCATCTCTCTTCCTCCTCCTCTGAAGCAATTTCCTGAGCTGTGGTATGTTGCTGTTGCAGATGAAGCTCTTGCAGCTCATCAGTGGTTAGCTCTTGATTGTGGTCCTCCACCAGCTCTTCCACATCCTGTCCACTCACTTCCAACCCCATAAAATTCCCCAATGCCACAGTACTTTCTACAGCAGGCAGAGGGTCGACAGGGGTCAGCCCCAAACCCTTCAAAATCCCTCTTTTGGACACAATCTGGCCACAGTTTTCTCCAAGCAGAGTTCTTCGTCCTGGAAGTCACTCCCTGCCAAGCCTGATCTATAAGGCTTATGCAGTGGAAGATACTGAAGTGATCCCTCCAGAACTCTCTTAGGGTTAATTCAGAGTCCAAGGTTATATCAAAGCACCTTTGAAACATTTCTTTGGTGTACAGTTTTTTGAAGTTTGCAATGATCTGCTGGTCCATGGGCTGGATGAGAGGAGTGGTGTTAGGAGGCAAGAACTTCAATGTTACAAAATTGAATTCCTTAGACAATTGGTCTTCCAAGTCTGGAGGATGAGCAGGAGTATTGTCCATTAACCCTTTGACTGTTTACGCTGTATATATACATCTTAGGAGTCTGTGGAGACAAAGAACTTTGTCCTTGGAGGCAAAGAGGGGAATGTATGAGAGTATAGTTTTACCAACGCTCTTATATGGGTGTGAAGCATGGGTGATGAATGTTGCAGCGAGGAGAAGGCTGGAGGCAGTGGAGATGTCATGTCTGAGGGCAATGTGTGGTGTGAATATAATGCAGAGAATTCGTAGTTTGGAAGTTAGGAGGAGGTGCGGGATTACCAAAACTGTTGTCCAGAGGGCTGAGGAAGGGTTGTTGAGGTGGTTCGGACATGTAGAGAGAATGGAGCGAAACAGAATGACTTCAAGAGTGTATCAGTCTGTAGTGGAAGGAAGGCGGGGTAGGGGTCGGCCTAGGAAAGGTTGGAGGGAGGGGGTAAAGGAGGTTTTGTGTGCGAGGGGCTTGGACTTCCAGCAGGCATGCGTGAGTGTGTTTGATAGGAGTGAATGGAGACAAATGGTTTTTAATACTTGACGTGCTGTTGGAGTGTGAGCAAAGTAACATTTATGAAGGGGTTCAGGGAAACTGGCAGGCCGGACTTGAGTCCTGGAGATGGGAAGTACAGTGCCTGCACTCTGAAGGAGGGGTGTTAATGTTGCAGTTTAAAAACTGTAGTGTAAAGCACCCTTCTGGCAAGACAGTGATGGAGTGAATGATGGTGAAAGTTTTTCTTTTTCGGGCCACCCTGCCTTGGTGGGAATCGGCCAGTGTGATAA